ATAGAAAAGTAAAAGATATTTAGTGAAAAAACGAATTATAACTCGTTCGTGTCTGAAGCTTTTATATTCATTGCCGATGTTTACCTTGCTTTATTCGCCATGAGATCCTTAAAAACTTAGTTGGAAGAAAACAAAATTGTTTTTTCACGAAATATCTTTTACTTTTCTGTATGTTTAACTTTTAATAAGTTGTACTGGATTGAAGACCAACTTGCCTACATCTCATCTGGATTTTATACGTCGGCAAGTTGGTGTTGGCGAGTTGAACCATTGGCAACTTAACTGTAATTCAACAAAAGTCCATAAAATTTCCATGAACTATTAAAATAATTACCCTAGATAAACCAATGATAATTTCAGAAGACTACCACAACAATGTAAGACCTCAATATAACTAGACTGCTAGGATGCACTTGGATGATGGACCACAATTGAAATTTCACAAATTTAGGAGGCATTGAAAATGGCGGGCTGAGTGCGTAATATCTTGTGGTTGACTAGGATCCTTTAAGATCTCTAAGATGTTTCATGTAAATGAAAATGTCCATGAAATAAAGACCACTACTGCTGACTGAGATGAAACTGTGCAGAAGCTTTTGAATGACTTCAGCAGTGGTAATCTTCTGCTAAGCAGAGGCTCTAGAAGTGGGTTATTACCGGATTCTACAAACAAAACAGTAAATACGTCTAATTTTGACACAAATAGTGTTGTATTATTACCCGCTATTTTCATTTGATGTAACTTTTACAGAGCAACATGGTAAGGCAAAGTTTAGAGAGTTGCTTGGAAGAGAAAACATTGTCAGCATGGAGAGGCCATAGGGAATCATGACAGACAAATTCAATAGCTTTGACTTTTATTTGCAGTTCACCAAAATAAGGTACCAAATACTTGTTGACTGAACAACAAAATTGAAGTCCAATTTACATGGAAAACTCAGCCAAAGAGTGAGTACCAGAGACAGTGACACATTGAGGAAGGTGACCTACTCCATAGTATCACTGACTAGTACATACATGTGCAGCATTGAAAGAATTCTTGTTTCAAGCTGAAATTTTTTTTGGATTTTCTTTCATGCCTCAACTTTTCCATTACCTTATGGCTACAAAGTATGTAAAAGGTAGCCAA